GGTGGAGAAGGCCGAGGATTAAAGCCCTGTAAGTCCCCCCTATTGGGCTTGCTCAATTTTCAAAAAGTTTCCAATAAATTTTCAAAACGCCATTATATAAATAGGATATATCAAAATGCCCATGATTATGGATCCTTTGGTTTTCCCCCCTCTAGATTTGAATTTGATGCAATTTCAAATTATGAGCCAATGTCATTTACACCCTTCTCATCATAAATGTGTATTAAAGGTTTCGTTTGTGCTTAGATTTGGATCGTTTGAAGATGAAGAAAATAGCAACTTAAAAATAGTGAAGATGAGGCGTGTGTATGAGATGGCTTTAAGGACATGGTCGGATTGGCTCGAAATTAATATCAATCCAAATAAGACCCAAATGTTCTTCATGAGCATGTCACCCATTCATGATAGGTATGTTTTTCTTTTCATCATATTATCATACTTTTAAACATTCTCTTTCCTACTCTTTTGTTGTTTTTTATGCTGATTCCAACGTATGAACGAAATTTTTGCACAAAATGTAGGGGTGAAGAATGGGGTAGAGCCAAGGGCCAAAATTGTTATAGTGAAACAGACCAAATTACAAGAGCTGGCTATAAAGGAAATGGCACGGATCCAAAGATGATGAAGATAGTGGAAACAGTACTAAATGACTCGAAAACTAGAGGACTAAATGTGCAAATGATAAATATTACACAGCTATCCGAATATAGGAAAGAAGCCCACCCATCAATTTACAGGAAGCAATGGGAGCCATTGAAGGAAGACCATATTTCAAACCCAAGCTCTTATGCCGATTGCATCCATTGGTGTCTCCCTGGAGTACCCGACGTGTGGAATGAGCTTCTCTATGCTTTTATTTCTCAAACAACTCCACATTCCAATCAAAATTCGAAACAGTTCAGATAAATTTTGTACTTATCATACGGTAGATTCACTTCAAACAAACTCTCTATAAAAAATAGAAAGAGAGTTACAAGAGAAGATTGATAGACTGAATGATAACAGCATCTCATATTATTTGGATGTACCAAAAAAGAAGTTAAAATATTCGCACTCCATCCCAAAAGTTACAATTTTGAGGCAGAATATTGATTAAATATATTTTGAAATCCAAAATGATATTTGAAAAAAAGTGGTTTACTCTCTAAGAAAGAGATTTAAAAGATGAAAAAAAAAAGAACTATAAATGATAGAATTTTCTCCTATTATTATAGGAAAACAAAGAAACACCCAAAGTTTCCCATAACTGTGACGATAGTATTACTGAAATCAAGAATTGAAAAGCTTAAGGTGTTGAAAGTGATCGTAGTGAAGTCTTTGAAGACCACTGTTGAGATTTCTTCGCACGACAGTGAGCCCACTTATCTAGCAAACTTCTTTTAATCTATTCTTGCATGATCTTGCCACTACAGAAAGAAGCCCCTCCTTCAAACACCGCCAAATTACCAATCAACAGGAGGAACGATTCAGTGGGGTCAACGATTTCCATCCTTGGGTCCTTCCCACTCTTTTTCATCTCTGGCTGTCTGATTTTAGAAAGACCGTGTTATGAAATCTTCCAGCTAGCTCTTAATAAGCTCAGATTTGCATCCAGAATCAGCTCCCGAGCATCAATTTTGGAACTATTTGGACCCTTTTGCGATTGCTTTTTGAAGTGGGCTTTAGTAAAAAATCCTTTCCAATCGTGATGCAGAGATGGAATCGGAGAAAAACCCATTTACATTTACTGGCTCTGCTTTTCCTTCTCTTCATAGTTCTTACAATTCTCCACAACGAACACAGCATTCGGCAAATCCAAGAAACCCCAGATCCTGAAAGTCGCCGCCAGGAAGCTTCAATTTCGTACGTGAAACCTAATGTTTTAAGCCACCGAAATGGAGTTCCCGGTATGTTAATCTTCACTTTCTTTCTACCATGTGGCTTTAATTGACTTGGTTTGTTGAGATGAAGCTGTTTGGTTTTGTGGGTAGTAGAAATTTTGGATAGATTCAGTAAGTGCAATGGGACGAAACAATATAGTGGTCGGAAAATCTCTAGGGATGGCCGGAAATCGGAATCAGGTCGTCGGAAAGTGAGGTCGGCGAGATGTGATGTGTTTTCTGGCAAATGGGTTTTCGATAACACTTCTTATCCACTGTATAACGAGTCGCAATGTCCATATATGTCGGACCAGTTGGCTTGCCATAAGCATGGCAGGTCTGATGTGAGGTATCAGTACTGGAGATGGCAGCCCCATGGCTGCAATTTGAAGAGGTAAATTTCTTCTTCTCTCGTGGTTTCACTCTATTCTCTGGTAAATTTGATGGGTTCTGTTTTTGGTAACTTGAAGTTGGAGACTGTAAAGTTGGTTTCATTGCATAGACTAAACAATGTAGCAATCTTGAGTTTGAATCAGTTCTCTTTTGGGAGACCAATAGTTTTCATTTTGGCATTGAAAGCAAATTTTATCTCAACTATGCAAAACATTAGACATTTATTTGTGAGATATTGGAAACAGATTCTCCTCTGCTTCAAATGTATTGTAATGAAGATGAAGATGTCTTCTTTTGGTAGTTGAACTAATGGATCTTTTAACTCTATTGTAGATGGAACGTAACCAAAATGTGGGAGAAGTTGAGAGGGAAACGTCTGATGTTTGTTGGGGATTCGCTGAATCGAGGGCAATGGATTTCAATGGTTTGTTTGCTCCAGTCTGTGATTCCAGCTGATAAGAAATCTATGTCGCCGAATGCTCCTCTTACCATTTTTAGAGCTGAGGTAATCGGAAACTCGTCCACATTGGTCTTCGTAATCTTGGAAAGTTTGTTATCAACTTGCAAAATCATGAATGATGTGTGTCTTGAGATATAATTCTCTCTATCATGTGATTTGTGAGTTGCAGGAGTACAATGCCACCATAGAGTTCCTCTGGGCACCATTGCTTGTGGAATCCAATTCGGATGACCCGGTGAATCACCGATTAGATGAACGAATAATACGTCCCGATTCGGTTCTTAAGCATTCATCGGAGTGGGAGCATGCTGATATACTAGTCTTCAATACCTACTTGTGGTGGAGACAAGGCCCAGTTAAGCTATTGTAAGTATAACTCAGTTTATGCCCAGTTTAAGCTTCCGACTTGCCTTCAAATTTGATCTCGCCTTACATCGATGAGAGCTTAAGCTTTTGCCTGTAGATGGAGTGCTGAGGAAAACGGAGTTTGTGAAGAATCAGAAGAACACAATGCTATGGAATTGGTTATGACGACATGGGCAGACTGGGTGGCTTCAAGGGCCATTCCCTTGAAGAAACAAGTTTTTTTCGTCACCATGTCCCCAACGCATCTGTGGTATGTTCCAGAACCCTGCTATTGAACTTCCATTGATCTTAAACACTTAGTTATTACAATATCCTGCAATTAGACGTGCAGTCCATCTTCGTTCCATCGGTTTGATCCCCTTTTCCACAACTTTGCAGTACCATTTGTGTTCTTATGGCTTCTGTGGCAGCTTAACTCATGAAATCTTTCCTGATTAGTGATTACCATATTCTAAATCTTGGGATTGGATTCTAGTTTTCTTATACATAACTTTCACAAGCTTTGGGACTGTAACACTACTTTCTTCCATGAATCTCAGGAGCCGAGAGTGGGAAGTGGAAAGCGATGGGAACTGCTACAACGAGAAAACACCGATCGAACTAGAAAGCTACTGGGGAAGTGGGTCAGACCAGCCAACAATGCGCATTGTCGAGAAGATCATTGACAAGTTGAGTTCAGCGATTACGGTTCTCAACATCACTCAGCTGTCGGAGTATCGAAAAGATGGCCACCCGTCCATCTACCGCAAGTTCTGGGAAGAGCTAAGCCCCCAGCAACTGTCAAACCCTGTAAGTTATTCAGATTGCATACATTGGTGCTTACCAGGTGTGCCTGATGTTTGGAATGAACTGCTCTTCCATTTCTTGTGAAAGTTTTTTACCTTGTTTTATAGAACTGGACCAACTGGTTTGATAATTTTAATTTGTTTCAATTTTGATTCGAGAAAGAGTTGAGAAATACATGACATGAATTTGCACTTGTTACGGCTTCATATCGTAACATATTAGTAACGGGTCAAAAGTTTAAATTTTCGCTTCACATTTATATAAAGCATGAGGTAAATGGAAGCAGGATTCTCCAAAAAGCCAACCAATAAATGAAAATCTACGGGCTTAGTTATGATTTGAGTAGGCTTCTAACGCAGAATACTCTAATAAAATCTTAGGACTAGGCTATGGCTCACTAGGCTATGGCTGTAGGGAGCTCAGTCTCATTTAACCAAACCAAAATGTTTTTTGGTTTTTGTTTTGTTTTTTGTTTTCTTCTCCAGATCTTACCACTTAAATGAAATTTTAGATTTATAATTGACTTTAGCGGAAAATAAGTGCAAACTTAGAGAAAATATGAACAAGTGATTGACACCTACTCGTTACGATTAGTTCGTAAATCACATCATTTTTTAAAATTTTTGGTTGAAAACATATAAATAGATATCTTTCAATGTATGATTAATATATCGAGGATTAATGTGCAACTTTTTATTGAATAAATAAAAAAAATTACTAAAAATACCATTCGAATAATGAAGCAAATCAAGAAGGAATTGATAAAACAAATAAATAAAGAGTCAGGTTCAAATTTCTATACTCTCACT